GCTCACTTTTATTTATACAATGTTTATTTATACAATGTATGCTAGCTTGTTTCTTAAATTCTATCACTATAATTATACCTGCTACATCAATCGCACTTAAAGGAGCAGTGGACCTCCCAGGTATACAGGTTTGTTTTACTTTTACAATGCTTTACTTTATGGCATATCTTACTGTTCTTGTCTACTGTACATTCTACTGCTTTCCTATACTGCATGCTTTACTGCTCCTATATATACTGTGTTGTCACTATTTTCCTTTGCTATACCAGCTATTGTTTCTCTTACACACTATACTTTAGAGTAGGAGACCAGTAGTTGGTTTTATAGAAGGTAGCCGACCGTAGATCGTTGACTCAACAATTGCATGTATACTTAAAATTAACATCGAACTCAAAGATACTACGACGGGGAGCTTGAATCTAGCATTGTGGGCAGCACGACCATCTTCAACAGCAGAACATATCTACACCAGCTAAACCACTCCTTAGAATTAAACAACAAATCATAGGAATCATAGGATTTTGAGGTTGTTTAACATAAATCCTCAACCTCATCTTTAGGCCTTTGTATGGTTCTACTATACAATATAAATCCTAACTCGTTTTAGGATTCCGAGGTTGTCGTTCATTATGACCTAAATCCTCATATCTTCCAGGTTATTTGTGTGAGCGTTTCACATAAATGTAAGCCCTAACTAATAAAATTGGCAGGATGAAATACTTGAATAATCTCCTCGAAACTGAAGCTAGGGTAGCTTGGGAAGTCACCAAGGTTTTCCTTCGGATCTATGACATCCCCTGGTTTCTCTTTCTTTGGATTCCATAAAATATTACAAATTTGAGTTATTCCCTTTTCACACCTCTTTGTCCGATCTCGTTGAAAAGTCTTATCATTTTGACCTCTTTGAAGATAATATTCCTTGATTTTTATTGAGAGTTTTCTTAGGTGGCTTCGGTTATCTAAGATGTAATTAACTATAGGGGCTTACTCTTATAGGCCGAACCTAGCTTAATATAAATATAAACCCTATTTAATTCTTCATATTAAATAGGGGAACTTGTCTGCTTATAAATAAAATGGTTTTCGCAAACCAAATAGATGTCATATATTTCTTTATTTATTTGATCTAGCCTGACCCTCAAGTCTTGTGTTTATCTTTCGTGAAAGATACATGACTTGAGGTGTCGTGCTCTTTCATTTAAACTATGAAAGATATAGGATCAGTTTGATTTCATATTTTTCTAAATATATATATGTAAATTAAATGTTCTTCCAAAGCGGGTGGCGAGATTTTGATTCTGGCGATCGACAGCAACCAACGGGCAACTCCTCAACTTTTTAGTGTCGACAGCCAGTTCACTGTCAAAGCCAGTTCTCTGTCAAACGGTGCATCATGCGCCAGGATCCCAGAATTCGCTGTTTTGACTCCAAATTTTGTCATTTTTGTCATTTTTGCTCCAAATACCTAAAAATGATATACCTGCAACAAAAACATTAAAATACCCTTCTTTAAAGTGCAATATCACAAAAAATAAGCATAAAATATGTACTTAAAATAATATATTATTTTGGTGTATCAGTTATTAATGTGTTATATGACTGTTCAATACATGTATTTGCATAATTATTAAATCTGTAACATGAACAACACCATAACCAACGTATTAAAGCAGTAACATAAACAACACCATAATTATTAAAGCTGTAACAAAAATAAATCTAATGATGATACATCAAAGCTCAATTATGGAATTCATCAATAGTCCCGTGAATTTTTGGGATGATATTTGTGATGGAAAAAATTCATGTAATGTTGTAAAGAAAACACATTTTAGAAAAACAAATTAAAAAGGCTTCTCAAATGAAACATGTAAGTGATTTCATTTTTATACCTGGTTTAGACAGTCATGCATAATTGGATAGGATGACATAGCAGGTTCCCGACTTGTTGATTAAAATAGAAACACCTTTTGGCTAAGCTTATGGTTAGAATAGGAAAATAAAACATAGATTGAAGCAGTTCATTTCATGTAGAGAAATATACTTTTGGATCTATTATTTTTCTCCCAATATTCTTTAGGCCTACAAGTAGAAATATTTTTTGGCCTTCTCTTTGTTGGGTCAGCCACATTACATTCTATATTTAATTATTTTTTCTTCTTTGCTTTTCTCTTAACAATAGGTGTTTCTCTAGGTTTTGCTTCGTTAATATCTACAAATAGCTTTTTAAATGTATCCCATAGCATCTGCTCGGTAAATTAGTCTCCTTGTGCTTTATTGATTTGTTGGTATGCAAACTTCTGAGATTGTGAACGGAATAGGAGGCTAATTGAAGAAACATCCATCATTTGGGACTCCCTTAGATGTTTTTATTCAAACCTATTATAGATGTCTCTTTTAGCATGATTAGACCATCACAATAAAAAACTTTTTTCAGGAATGTGATTTATTTTAACCACATTCAGAACATGCAGTGCATGCGAACACAACAGCCCCTTCATTTCAAACATCTTGCAATTACAAGTGACATCGGAGTAAACTCTATCAAAATTCACAACGCATGTCTTGGATGTGCCATCATTATCCAAATTGCGTATATAATATTTAAACCCACTATATGCGGTGAATTCAAGTGTGAGTCCACATAAACCATTAAACAACTCTTGCTCGAACATAGAGTAAAGCTTCCTCATATAAAATGAGGAAGATTGCCACAAAATCGGGTTGACTTTATTCATCGGCATAGTGATAGATTGACTACATTTGAAATCTTCATCCTTTTCGTTCCTGAACCATAATTTCATTATATTTTCAAGGCCAATAAAACAAGCTATCAGAGAGATTGTCGACTTCGAAACACCATGACATATATTATTTGCGGACTCACTTCTTTGAGTTGATAGGATTCCCATTCCAAATATTTCTTTATTGAAGGGAGTTGTCCATTTGTGTCTGATTTTGTACATCTCATGTAACCACACATTATTGTGTAAGTCACCCACTAACATCATTAAGGATCAAGTTTCTTTGAACTCCTCCTCCGAATTGCATTTACTCATGCATTTAGAATAAAAGATCGGTGACGCTCATGATAAAAACTCCACAATGCACTTTTAAAGTAATTTTTTTGTAGATATGTCATTGACATAATCTATGACGTGTTTGTGGGAGACATTCTTCAATAGCCCTTGCCATTGCTTGGTTCTGATAAGTGAAAATACTTAATGGATGCTTGTCTCCCATTATTCTTATAAAAACTTTGAATAACCATTTAAAAGAATTAATAGTCTCCTCGGACAAGAAGCTAACACCAAACATGACGTTTTGCCAATGGTGGTTAACTCCCACAAAGGGAGCACAACATAAGTTATACCTATTTAATCTATAGCTTTTATAAAAAATGATTACATCCCCAAAACAATCATAATCCAACCTGGATAACCCATCACACCATAAAAAAACTTGTTAATCTACCATACTTATCTGTTTGGAAATCCAATGCAAACATGTTATCGTCGACTTGCCTCCCCATGAATAATTGAATTAAAGAATTGACATCTCCTTGTTCAATTTTTTCTCTTCTTTCTCTTTGAATGAAATTGAACGCATCCCTCTTCGTGCATTCCAAATTGCCACTCTCTCAACCTTCGTAGTAAGGAAGTTTTATGCATTTGTTGCTCTGATCCCTGACCCTGTCATTGATCTCAGGACATCTACATTTAAGTCAGTTATGTTTCTAATGGAACAAAGAAGATGCTTATCTCCACATTTAACAAAATGATGGCTGTGCTTTCAATGAATTTTTTACTATCCAGTTGCCTTCAAGGTCAACTGCATAACACACCATAACTTGACAACCAGTCCTCGTGTCTGACTTTTTGTACTTTATTGTATTCATAAGGTTAGACTCCTTGTGACTAGCTTTTCCGCAAAGGAAATCTTTGGTCTTCTTTTCTTCAAATTCGGCCAATAACTATTGTGGTCCTTCCCAACATTGAAACCTACATGATGTGCATATGCACAATATGTTTCATAAGCTTCTTGCTCATTGTGGACGATGGTGCTAAGAAACTTCTCTACAATTGGACACTGCAAACAGTTCTCTGCTCACATGACTACACATTTGCACAAATTAAGTCCAGTCAGCAAGAATAACACAGCGTAACCACAGCTTAATAACAAAATAACAGTAGAATAACACAGTAAAACATGACCGACATTCATAATAATAACACTACACTAATACCAAACAACACCACAAAAAAATTAAGAAATAACACCACAATAACAACCAAAAGAACACACAAGAAAAACATACCAGTGCCACCACTAAGGCTAACAATAACACTATAATAATTGAAGAATAACACAACAAAATAAATAAATAACATAGCAACAATGAGCTAAAATACACCATATTATCATTACCATTTATACTTGAACAAAAAACCACTATTATACCACATCAACAAAAAGTAACCCTGAACAAATAAAAAAAACAATAGTAACCCACCATAACACGACTAAAACAGTAAAACCCAACGTAACACCACAAATTACACAAAAAACCCAACAAACATGCATGAGAATAACACTAAACTTATACCATTATATAACATCAGTGCAAAAGTAAAACCTAGTTTTAATCTTAAGATACTAAATAACAAATAAAAATAACACCATTATCAGACCACACAAACAACACAGATGCAAGTTTGAGCTAAACAAAACTAAAACCTTTCAAGTTTTAGCTAAACTCCCTCTTCTAAGTTCAGCGAAAATGATGGCTGCAACATCCCCAGAATATAGTCGTCTGGAGAGGAGTTCATCGAAGTCGTAAACTCTAAACCAATGAAACAGTTATTACTCAGCTGGGCACGGTAAAAACAAATAAGTAGCGAAGCTTTTACGTATAAAAATTTGGGCCGGGCCTGTCCGGGCCAAGCATGAACTCAGTTATTATTTCCTGTAGCGTTTTCTTTTTTTATTTTCAGAAATTTGAAAGCCGATATTTTTTTTCTCAGTCATGACACAATAATTTTTCCAAAAAGGACGGGATTTCTAGTTTGCAGGGCGGCCGTGGCAGCAGCATCTCTATCGATTCTTACACTACAGGAAGCTCCGGCACTACCATGGCTTCAGCGTGGGCACAGAAGACCATCGTTCTTCCACCCCAGAAGCGAGGATGCCATCTTGTCACAGCAAGGGTAGATTTCCGAGCCCTACTTCAAAATTTCTGAAATTATTTTTCTTTGAGTTCCCACAGTTAATTTTGTACAGGTCGCTTTTTTTTCCTCGACTATTTCACTGAACTGTGTATTTTTGCAAGTCTCTTAATTATTGAACTACGATATTGGGAATTTTGGGCTAAGTGTCAAAATGTTGGTGTCAAACGCAATGCTTTTGTGCAATTATCAAATTTTTGTTCGAATATCATATATTTTTTCCTTATTACAATATTTTATTGCTGTGGACGTTGAGTTAGCAGTGTATACCCAAAGCAAACTCGCTCAAAAGGAGGACAAGATGATTAGTTTCTCAAGCCATGATCAGACCAGACTTGCCATCAGAGCTCTAGACAAACTTGCCAAGCTGGCTTGAGGAGAACCCACTTTACTTGGATTCGAGGCATCTACCTGCTAAGGAGAATGCAAACTCATTTAGACTAGAGATGAAATATTTACTGGGCTCAAGAACTCACCTAAGGCTATCACCAGATTTGCTGGATCAATCTAGCTCAAACAATCACCTATGCCTGAAGAACTACTTGGGCCATACTTCTAGAAGACCTTGTAACTTCACTTTTGTTAACTTTCCGATCTAGCCTCAAACAACAAAAAATGAGAGATGGAACATGAGCACCAAAGTGTGAGCACCCATCTTTAAACTCATCCCAATCGCATTTTTTGAAGCGATTGATCAATTAATGTCAATCTTTCTAATGATTCGTTTGTGGTCATGATGCTAATTGCCAACAATCTTATTTATAATATATTGATTGACCTGATGAGTTCCGTCAACAGCATCATCGAAATTGTCTTTATAAAGATGAATATCAGGTAGAATTTTCTTTTCTCAAAACATAAGCCCTTTATATGGATTTTTACAAAAAAGAAAGGAGAATGAAGGAATACTAACTTTGCTGATCACATGGAAAGAATAAGAGCATCAATTCACAACAATGGCAGACTTTATAATAGTCAATATCTTGATAACTTATCATGCAATCTTTGGTCGATCATTTCTCAACATTTTTCATGTGCTCATCTTAATCTATCATGTTGCCATGTAGTTCGAAGCTGAAGGCCAAATAGTTACTGTGAAAGTCGTATTCAATCTGGAATATGCTTTTTGAAGGTAGTGAGTGATGTACCAGAGGAGGTGCTAAACATAGAAATATGCTCGCATTTAGGCGTTGAAACCAAAGAAGTTGAAGGCACTAGGGTAAAATTGGTTGACATACTACCTTCATATTTATAGTTTTAGGATGCTTCTGTCATCAACTTATGGGTAGACTCTTTATGCTATCATATTGCACAAACATGTTACCACCAGTTTGGCACACTTTGTATAGCCAATGAATCGTAGCCAATTTCAAATGTAAAGAAGGCGAATTTAACACATGGCAAGAAGCAAATGAAGAAGGCTTGAGGGCCATACACAACCTCCTAGAGGGACTCAAGATTAAATCAACCATGAATTAAGAAAAAGGTAAAAAGGAGAATGACTAAATTTTTATTACTCTAATTGTCAAGGTGAAGAGATTCAAGTCTAGTGACCTAGCGATGAAGAAAGTTGATGTAGCTGCTTACCAAATGCCACCAAATGCCACTTGGCAAATTGGAGTCAACTTGGGATAGCCCCTATTTAGTTATGGAATAAACCGACCCTAAGAACTATCAACTTCATACCCAAATAGGTAATCAAGTCCTCAAAACGTGGAACAGAGTTGACCTCAATCTGTTTTCTCTTAAATACTTTTATTATATTTTTCATTTTGTATTTTTTGTGCATTATATGAAGAAATTAAAAGAAAAATAATCCTAATAAATTTATAAAGATAAGCTCAACTCACATACGAGAATGTGTTCTTTAAGTAGAGATAGAGAAACCATCTCAAGTAAATTTAAGGTCTCGCCCAATAAGAATGAGTTCAATAAACATACAAGAGGATTTTTAGTTAAAAATTAGAGTTAGACCAGTTAAGTGTCTAATAATATATGTTGACCTCGGAGAATTCTTTCCCTCATTATGACTTGGTCAATGAAGCATGGAGTGGGCCCTTAGTGCTAAAAAACTATATGATCTCTTCCCAAGTTGGCAAGTTATGATGATTATTTTCTGAAGAAGATCTGTGATCCCTAGTCAAACAAAAGCTCAAAATTAACGAGGTTAGTCATTTTTGGCATTCTATCATAATATAGTGGAAAATGATCATAAAATGAACTTGAAATGTCAAGAACTCTCATATTTTTTTAGATGAGCTAAATCTAAATAAGTTTCTATAGGCTATGAGTCGGGCGCTGTTGGAACTGGTTATGGTGATGCTAGCAAGTAGTGATATGGAGGAGCCTATAAATGAGGCTGTGCGACCTTTTTCAGAGAAGTTTCAAGTGTATCGACTGATAACTCGCCACATGAATTGCCACCTCCACTAGAGATTCATTATGCCATAGACATTCCAAGAACAACGTTCTCCAACCGGCTAGTCTACAGGATGCTACTACTCGGGTACGGTAAGTTGCAGAAGTAGTTTATAGACTTGACCATTAGATGATTGGTTCATGAGACTACTAGCCCATGCAAAGTTTCAACTCTGGTTGTACCAAAGAAGGGTGACTCTTGATGCATATGTATTGATACCAGGGTCATGAATAAAATTATCACCATTTACCATTTCCTCTTTCATACACAAAAAATATATGCATATTTAGACATATATTTTATATTCATTTTTGGTGATATTGTGCTTTAAAGGAGGGTATTTTTCATGTTTAATTACAGATTATTGATTTTTAGAACTTGAAGCAAAAATAAAGCAAAAATTATGAAATTTGGAGACAAAATGGTGTTTTTGAAGAAATACTCAGCGCCGACGGCGCCATGATGGATGATGATGCCGCCAGGATGGATGCCGACGGCGCAGAGCTACAAAATAAAGGCTAGAATATACTCAGCTCTGACGGCGCCAGGAGCAGCGCCGATGGCACCAGGAGCAACGCCGACGATGCCATTTGATAGAGAACACGGAATTAATTCATGGGCCACTGGCGCCGACGGTGCTAGAATGGGCGCCGACAACAACAATGTCGGTGCAAGACCTGTTTCTAAAAGATTCGATGAATTTGGATGCTTTTTAAAGAGTTTTTGGATGCACCTATTGGAAAACCGACATTAGGCTCTATTTAAGGCAAAAATTGATCAGAAAACTACCTCTTCCACTCCCCCCCAACCACTAAAAGCCTATTATTCATTTATTTCTTTAGAGTTTTGAGTTTTTGTGGTGAGTTTAAGTGTGAGTTCTTTTCTAAGAGTTGTTAGAGAGGGAGAGAAGTGAAAAATTTCTTCTTCCTACATCTTCTAAGAGAGAATCTTCTAAGAGAGAATCAAAGAAATAGTTCAAGAGAGGCTACAAGAGATTTGCTTTGAGAAAGAGTTTCAGATAAGTGTTGTTTGTTTATTATTGTAGTATGAACTTTCTTTTATATATAAAATTTGTGTTTTGTTGTATCTTTCTCATGAAGTCTGAGTAGTTTCCTTTATCTTTCTCCCTACTCTGAGATATGGTAAAATGAAGAGATAATTTGGATGTGTCAATTTTAAAATATAAAATAAATTGTGATGGTTTTTCAACTCCGTTCTTAATTTACTTTTCGATCTAACCAATTGAAATGTTAAAATATGTTGTGAAACATATGATCATGGAAATAAAGTATGAGTTCTACAACAGAGTGAGAATCACATTTAATTCTATGGAAGAGTATTTCGTTCATGAAATTAAGTGCAAATGAATAGGAAAATATATATTGTTGGGCGTAAAATTGGAGATTCTAGACTGACATACTAAAATTCTCAGTTTGGTCTTAGTGTTTAAGAACTAAAGCGAGCGTTAGCTTTCAGAGAAAGAGAAGTGAGAGCTCTGGAGTGAGAGCCAGTATCCTTCCAGCCTAATCACAGATTTAGGAATTAAACCTGAGATTGACCAATGATTCTTTATAACACTGAATCGGAGTAGAGAATTCGAATTGCTCCTATTTGACACAATACATATTTAAACCATTTGTCTCATCTCATTTTACCAAAAACTCATTGTAGTGGGAAATATGCTTTTTCATATTAGATAACTTCATCGCATAAACATAATTTGGTAGTTACTGTTTAAGCTTTGCATTTCAGCTTTGCTAGTAGTTAATAATTTAGGTCTGATAGTACTTCAAATATTCAAAATTAGTGACAGTAATTTTATTTTATTGCTCTGAATTTCCTAGTTAATTTATCACTTCAAATTTAAATCTTCATCGTGAGATCGATATTTAAGGCTTAAACAGAAAGTCATGCATTACTTGATAACGATACGTATACTTGCGTAGAATCCCTACATAAATTGCTTAAATTTGTTATTCATAAAACAACACATCAAGTTTTTGGCACTGTTGAAAAGCGGAGTTAACTTTATATATTTTGCACAGTTATGTCATCGGGATCACTCTTTCGAAATTGGACAATTTACTTGATGAGTTACATGGAATGAGTGTCTTCTCTAATATTAATTTGCATTGTATGATGCGGGACGCAGTTTCCTGCAAGACCGCACTTTTCTTTTCTTTCTTATCCTTTTTTATTTCTCTAGTTTCTAATTAGGTTATTCTCTCTTAGGGGTCCTTTATCTAGTTGTACTATGGTTTTGGAGTTTTCAGCTTGGGTTTTAGGTATTTTGAGAGTTATTCTTTGGTTTTCTTGCGCTTTGAAATGCTGTAGCTCTTCCTTTCGCAAGTGGTGTGTCTTCAGCTTGCTCAGGAATATGTGATGGATCCCCCTTAATGTTTGTACCTCATTGATTTCTCGTTGGATTGCTATTTTCAACAGGGACAATCGCAAAGCGCCTCCAATCTGTTGCCCAATTGCCGGTCTTACCCCGTTCTCCCTCCCCCACGTTGCCTATTGATTGTTTCCAATCATATAGCCATTAACGGTGTGGTCATCTACT